TTCAATCTCTCGAAGTCCCTCCTTTTTTACATATTCTGTACAAACGATACTTTCCGCCCCGCCCATTCATATAATTTGGAAGGAAATCCTGTGAGGGGTGAATTGAATGCACTTTAATACCAATAGTTGCAATTTCCAAACCTACGACTGGATGCCTTCCTTCAAATAACAACTGAAGTGCGGTAAAAAATCAGTAGAACTGTTTCAAACACACAGTTGGTACTTGAGCGGGTCGGTTTTCATCTCTTTTTGCCAGTGGTGGCGGGGCGGGGACACCCCTCACCATCCCTCTCCAAAGGGGGAGTTTGGTAAAGAGAGATAAAAAAAAACCGATTTGTACCTTCCTTAAAAGTTGTCCTAGCTCGCTTGTCTAATATCTATATGCAATCTTCACACTGCCGTACTCTAACGGAACTATCAACTCTATGCTTTCATCTACTCCATCTATCGTATAAAAATTACCACTACAGTCTGTTATTTGAAATTAGCATCTTCAACTATGTAAATCGTTGACTTCACGTAGAATTAATACTAAAAACGTATAGTCAAAGCATTTAAAGTTTTTTTTTGTTCTTGATCTTTTGGCTACTGGCCAATAATTTTATTTCTCCTACCTCTGTTTACCTCAGCACAAAATGAGACCCTCACTCTTAAATTCCTCACACATTTTTACAGAGGGAAAGTGCTCGAACGATCAAAATAACAGGCCTCAATTCTTATAAAAGTATATCATGACTTATTTTCTTATTTGAAATTGGGTAAAATGGGTAATTTACTGACATTTTCTCAAGATGAAACCACCACCATTGGATTCCTCAGTCATTTTTACAGTAATACCACAGACAAACATATATCATGTAATATAGGCTGTCTTGCAATGAGCACTCATACATAGGATTTCCAGTGAAAACTAGATGTATGAGTGCTCATTGCAAGCTAGCCTATATTACATGATATAAGCCATAGTCTGTCCGGGGTATAAGGGAAACATAGAAAGTTTGACTGCAGTCATCGTTTGACTGCCGAGTGATAAACAGGAGTTTTCTTTGCATTGTACACTGAAAACGAATCTTACTCAGAGAGTGAGTCACTTTTACTCATTCGTATGAAAAAAAAATAAAAGCGTAGGTTATTCATGCGCTGCGTAATCTACACTTTAAGAAAATTTTCCATACGAATGAGTAAAAGTGACGCACAAATGAGTAAAAGTTAATCACTCTGAGTTAGTTTCGTTTTCAGTGTACAACGCAACGAACACCCCTATTTATCACTCGGCAGTCAAACCATAGAGGTCAAACGATGACCATAAGCTGGTGATACAAAACCAACCAAAACCATCGGCCCTTTTCAAGGCCACCACAACTTTCTACAAAAGAGTTGAGTTATGAAATTCACTTTATTCCAAAACAACTTCCGAAACAACAAACTAGAAAATCAAACAAAAATTTCGTAGTCCTACGTCAACAATGCGTTCGTGTCTTGTACACCACCCTCCAACTTTTTGAGGTAGAACCAGCAGGATCGGTTATGTAAAGGACAATTTCAAAATATTCTATAGATCGTTATTCCACACACCAAAAATCTGAATCAATTTTCAGCAAAATGGAATGCTGATCTGCTTCCAGCAAAAGTAGTTTTTACTGACTAACCAGCAATCTAATCATTTTTGCTGGAAGCTCAGTAATATGCATGATCTGACAAATATGGGATCATTTTTATGTTTCACATTCCCGCGGCATTTTTTTTAGAGTCAAGAAGTGCTTATTTAAGCATTATATTGCTCATGCTTGTGAAATTCACTACGAACCAGTAAGTAAGTGCATTAAAATTATCACTACGTGATAATATTATTTTGATTTCAGCTATAATCCTTGCGTGAAGTGCTTCTAAATCTTTGAGATGTGTTATTGCAATGTGAAAAAACACATGGATTATTGTTCTATCAAACAATTAAGATAAAAATTGAATTCACCTAATAAACGAACTATACATATACTTAGAATATATTTATATTTAACTCTTAATTTGACACAATCTATAGAAAAACAAATTAAATTGCTGGTGATTCAGTAAAATATTTATTATGCGTTTTGCTGAACAAACCAGTGAAATATTACTGGTTTTGCAGCAATGAGCTGTCAAATGACCTGCAAGATGTTTTGCTGGTCGTTCAGTAATAATATTTTGCTGGAAGGATTGCTGGATTTCCAGCTCGGCAAAATCCAGCAAAATTTTGCTGGTTTACGGCAATAAAAAATGGGTGTGCAGCTACGGATGCTGGAGCTTTTCAACAAGCTCTGGCTCACCAACTCGTATCCAGCGTCGTGGAAAGAGAGCTTAGTCATTCCCATCCCAAAAGCCAATGAAACAACCCGTGAAGCTACCAAGTTCCGGCCAATAGCCTTGACATGCTGTATGGCCAAGGTCCTGGAGCGAATGGTCAACAGGAGGCTAAAGCATTTCCTTGAAGCCGAAAACCTGCTAGACCATCGACAGCACGCTTTCCGTCAAGGGTACGGAACGTCAACTTATTTTGCAATATTAGAGGAGGTCCTCCAAAGTGCCAACGATAGCGGTCTCCACACCGAGATCGTCTCGCTGGATATATCGAAAGCCTTCAACAGGACGTGGACGCCCCTCGTCTTAGAGCAGCTTGTCAACTGGGGGCTGTGTGGACCCATGGTCCACTTCATCAAAAATTTCCTGACCGATCGCTCTTTCAGAGTCGCAGTGGGCAACACGAGGTCCCAGCTTTTCAGAGTAGAGACGGGCGTCCCACAAGGTTCAGTTATCGCCGTTACCCTCTTCCTTGTGGCCATGAACGGAGTTTTCGGAGGACTGCCGAAAAATGTTTACATTTTCGTGTATGTACTTATCATAACTACCGGCCCAACAGCAGCACGCAACAGGATCAAGGCCCAGGCAGCAGTCTCCGCTGTAGCCAGGTGGGCCAGCGCAGTAGGTTTCCACCTTTCGGCCACCAAAAGCGTCAGGTGCCACGTGTGTCCATCCCGGCACCGTGTCAGCGGGCCACCTATTAAAGCTCAAAGCCAACCCATACCACTGAAGAAGACGGTCCGTATTCTGGGGGTACTTGTTGACCGGTCCCTCAACTTCGAGCAGCGATCAAGAACAACTGCCGCAGTAGGACCAACTTGATCCGCACTATCTCTCGCCCCCACCGGTCTAACAATCGTGACACTCGTTTCCGGGTTGCAAGAGCCGTCATCGATAGTCGCCTACTGTACGGTCTTGAGATGACGTGCATCGCCACCGAAAAGCTCGTGCGGATACTAGCACCAACTTTTAACACCTACGTTCGGATTGTCTCCGATCTTCTTCCGTCAACGCCCGCCGAGGCCGCATGCATCGAAGCGGGTATTCTGCCCTTCCGCCATCGTATAACCGCAGCAATTGCAACGAAAGCCGCTGCCTTTACCGCAATGACCTCCGGAATGACTGCCAATTCGGAGCTCCCCCCAGTGGCCAAGGTCCACTGGTACGGAGACAAAAGTTGGCGCATACCTCCACCAAAAATCGATAGTCGGATAAAAAGCAGGTTCAAGGCTGGAGATTACTCCGCAGCGCTGAAGAGAACGATAGCCGAACTGCTAGGCACGGACTACCCAACCCATGCCCACATATACACAGATGGATCGCTTTCCCGAGCCGGGGTCGGAATTGGAGTAGCCGGAATTTCAGCACCGATGAGTAGCAGCCTACCACCACAATGCTCGGTTTTCTCCGCCGAAGCTGCGGCCATCTTTGTTGCCGTTACAACACCCTCGGACCGGCCCATATTGGTGCTATCCGATTCGTACAGCCCTTGCATCGGAGACCATGACTCTTTCCTGGAAACAGGGTATTGTGGAGGCCACACCTCCAAACACGGTATTTTCCTGGATCCCTGGGCTCTGCGGTATCCCAGGAAACAGCGAAGCCGACAGCCTGGCAGGGTCTGGACTAGTTGGCCCCCCTTACACCGACGAAGTGCCACTACAGGACATGAAGCGATGGATAGTCAGCAAAATGTGGGAAGCCTGGGAAGCAGAGTGGTGCCAATCCCAATCCCTCTTCATCCAAAGAATCAAAGGAACGACGAGCAAGTGGACGGATATGTCGAAACTACGGCACCAGAAGGTGGTTTCTAGTCTTAGGACAGGCCATACAAGGATCTCACATAGTTTTGGTGGGACGCAGTTCCACAGAACGTGCTACGTTTGCGGAACCACTGCATCGGTGGAACACATCCTATGCCTGTGTCCGCAATACCAAATTGAACACGCCGCTTCCGGCTTGGTAATACCATAGAGGTTACTCTAAGACTAGAAGGTCCCGAAGAAACGTGCTCAACTTTTTGGCTCAGCTCTGGTACTCTCTTCGGTTCCAAGCTAATCGATGCACCCCTCGAAATATAGGAAAATCCACTAACCCCTTATTTTATCTGTCAAACTTTCATAGCGAATCAAACCAAACATTGTGTAGTACTAGAATTTCGACTAGAATGGGGTACGTTAATCGTTTGCTTGGTACCAGTAGGCTAGTCAAGTAGTGAGCCAATTTAAAATCCTTAGCTTCCTCCCGTTGCTGCTACTACTTAGTAACTTACCTGACCATGGTTTAGTTAATATTTCTTAAAACACCGAAACACCGTTATATGTATTTGCTATTAACTTTATGATACAGTTCTTTTAATTTCGGTTTTCTCGAAAAAAAAAACTTGAACAGCTACAATTTCGTCTATATGGATTAAAATCACTGAAACTCACTGACCATTTCGAAATTACATTACACCTTTTGAGATTGGTAAACAGAATAAAAAATGAACAGCAAAAGCCATGGTTTGTCGCGCAACTTGATAATTTTACTCAGCGTAGTACAATTGATAACGAGTTGAAATTCAGATAAGCTACCTACACTCACTGATTTCAATGAAAACATAATGCGACGTCTAATTCCAGAATGAAAACACACCCATATTATCAACCCAACAAATTTACCTGTTATTCTCCTGAATGTTCCGCTTGTTCAGCTTGTTGCTGTTGAAGGCCTTATTCTCGGTTAGATTGCCCTCGATGAAGACCATCGTCAGCGAGGCGCTCACGTTGTGCCGGGCGGCATATTTCGTCTCCTGGTTCATCATGTTCCGCAGCACGTAACCCATCACCATATTTACGCAAGTCAGGTTCACCCCTACCGGGTGTTGATTCATGTTCCCGTACACGTTGCGATAGTTCATCTGCATCAACGCTCCGGGAATGACGTGCTCCAGCAGGAATTCCCGCGCACGTGGCTCGTTCCCTTCCAGTGCCACCCGATCGATCTTGTCCGGAACGATCAACGTGAATGGAATATCTAGATGTAGAGAGAGAGAGAAAAAAAAATGTTATTCAATCGATCCTCTGGAAAATCCGCATACGGTTCGATTTTGTACGATGTGGGGAAAACCCGTTGGATTCCTTCGTGCCGATAAGCACCTTTTTGCGTTGTTTCCAATCCACCCACAACCTTAACTCAAATAGCAAGAACGTTCATAGAAGACGCAAAATTTGCATATTTCAAAGTCGGTGCCACAAAAGCGGAAGGAACTTGCAGTCTGGCAGAATGCACGCGAAGCCGAATGACGAACGGACGGACGCGGATGACCTGACTGCATCGGGAGGATATAAATCGCGGCAAAGCTCAAACGATAAGGAAGCTTTTAATAAGGGGGTTTCTAACCAACATGATGTGCTTCGTGCCGAGCGTGGTTCGTTGAAAGGCAGTTTTTTGTTGGCGCAAGAAGTTTAGATTTCGCGATAATCGGTTGCACCTGAGGCAGGTGAAGTCTATAAATTTTAAGTTATTGGTTCAGGTTTTAAACTGATGGAATCTGGAAATTTTAAATAGCTATTTATAGAATGCTTTAAATTCTTTTCATTTTCAAATAAGACATGAATAAGACAAGTTGGTGATAACATAAATACATTTCGAACTTATTGAGAAATGTAGCCTGTACTTTGAAAATTAGTGAAATCTAATTTTTACGGAATACTTCATTTTCTTCCTAGCTTTGATGCTCTTCCACGTGCTTTCGCCTGCTCTCAACTCAGTGTTCAGTGCAGTGTTGGCAAAATCAGAAATCAATTGATATTTTTCCACTCTTATGCGCTCGCAATATCACGCGTGATATTGGAACAAAATATCATGCTTGAAATTGATTTTACAAGCTCTTTTGATATTGCGAGACTATTCACAACGTGCAAAAATCAAGCTGAGAGTTGACTAGACACAAAAATGATTCCATTGCACATCATTTTCTTAGAAAGGGAAAGCATAGTTTGCTATCTCTTTTTAATCTTCACCGAGGGCAGATGCGAAGGGACTGCTGCAAGCCGTTATGGAAGTTTCGGTTGCATTCGGGAGTAAAGCAAAAATCATTAAACTCAATCTCACCACAGTTTGGTGAGATTTGCAGTTGGTGAGTTTTGTTAGCTTGATATTCCGAGCTGCGATATCACAGCTTGCAAAATCAACCGCAGCTGTTTGCTTGTTGATTTTTGTCTACGAAAATCAAGCGTGATCTTGGGCGTTGGTAAGATTTGATTTTTTGATATTTTCCCAACACTGGTTCAGTGTTTTTCTTTACGTAAAAGTTACACAAATTAATATATCGTGATTTTATAAAAAAAATAAGCAGGCAGAATTCTTAAAAACAAAAAAGTAAGAGGTTGTATCCAAGACTCGACCGTAGATTTGACGTAGGATGACGTGCTCGGTATCAATATTTGGCGACTATTTTGGGGAAACCACTATTAGCAGGCAATCGGTGATAATTTTGATCACCATTGCAGCAGTTGGACATTTGTGTAATTTTCAATATTGACATATTAAAAATTGATAAAGTATTAATAAGTAGCTTCGTAGAAAAATTTCCAATCGATTGGCTTGTTTAGAATTAAAATCCATCCGCTATTGACAGAGTTATAAGTGGTCAAAACCTGACCACTTTTCGTAATGCGGTCGATTTTGTTTTTTTTTTTAATTTCACCCCCAATATGTTGTCGAAAGACGTAATCCTACGTCAAAAAAAACTAGAAGATGCTGAAGTCGTTGTTATTTGCGACTTTTACGAGTGGCCATGAATCCGAAGATGAGCTATGTAAGAAGTTGCTCACATCAATCCAGTCGATGATACCATGCAACGGTTCTTCCTGGTTCCAGGTTCAATTTCCAGGTTCTTCCTGTACACAACAGACACTACACGGTCTTTCACAAGGCTTCTCAACACTTAAAAGTTTACTAGCGCTATGAAAATGGCGGATGATAGCTAAAATGCCGAATCTCGGTAAACAAGCGATGCTAAAACGAAATCTCGGCATATCAAATTACCGAGATCAGTGAAATCATTGTTTACGTTTGCGCTCGGCATCCATTGTTGCCGAATTCCGGGGAAAATTGGCAACAAGCTGAGTTTTCAGTTCGCAGTGGTGCTGAATCTCGGATTAAACTGGCTTTTGCTGAATTCTTAGTTTATTATAATAATGCCGTGGTGGCTCGGTAATATGTATTGCCGAGCTCGAGAATATTTTTTAATTGTGTACATTTGTGTGCTGATTGCTATTCTATCCATTTCAAACAACAGACTCAAAACTAGATGAAAACGTTTTTACAACGCTTAAAACATCTCAGGTGAGTGTGACTATTGTCGGCAGCCTCTTTTTCTTCGGAAACATTTCCATTTGAACTGCATGTTAACAACCGGTGGAAACTGACGATTTTAAATTGGCTCACTACTTGACTAGCCTATTGGTACCACACGCTATTTAAAAACTACCCAAATTTGGGTACAATACACCCAGATCGGTCAAAACTGAACCTACCCAAAAATTGGTAAACTGTGTTGGGAGTGACAAGTTGACAAATGAACAACATTTACATGAATCCGATCGACGTTGAAATAGCGTGCAAGCAAATCGATAACCGTACCCCATACTAGTCGAAATTGTAGTACTACACTTTGTTTGTTTTGATTCGCTATGAAAATTTGACAGATAAAATGAGGGGTCCGTGGATTTTCATATGTTTCGAGGGGTGCATCAATTAGCTTTGGACCGAAGAGAGTACCAGAGCTGAGCCAAAAAGTTGAGCACGTTTCTTCGGGACCTTCTGGTATTAGAGTTACCTCATGGTGTTAACCAGTTGTTCTATTATCGTCTACTCGAAATCAGCCTATTTTGTAGTGTGTATGTTTTATTTGAAGAAAAATCTGGTAAACATGTTTGCTTAGTCGTAAAAATGTACTCAGATTGAAGCTTAAAGTACAACCGAAGTGACAGACGGAGCGGCTCGAAAACTTTGGTGACGAACCTGCTATTGCAATTTTTCAGTGTACTACATGGCAACACTACTACCACAAAAGAAGTGACAGACGACTAACTGCCGAAGAAATCAATTAAAATAATGTGGTTCGCTGTAATACAATTTTCCACCAGCTGGACTAGTATTTTTGTTTTGATTTGAACAAAGTTGATTTTGTGTGTAATGATCTTTGACAGTGTGCAAAAAGTGTATCATTTTGTAATTTTTTTATGCATTCCAGTCTAAGACTGGAAGATCCCGAAGAAACGTGCTCAACTTTTTGGCTCAGCTCTGGTCCCAAGCTAATCGATGCACCCCTCGAAACATAGGAAAATTGACGAATGCCTAAATTTTATCTGTCAAACTTTCATAGCGAATCAAAACAAACATAGTGTAGTACTAGAATGTCGACTAGAATGGGGTAAATTAATCGATCTGCTTGGGACCAATAGGCTAGTCAAGTAGTGAGCCAATTTAAAATCGTTAGTTTCCACCGGTTGGTTTTATTCTTGATTGCTCTTGTGATTTTATGTGCCATATACAGGGGATATACAACATGATCCGGACTGACAATTTTTTTTCAAAATTCAAATGGCACTGACTGTTTGAAAAATAAACGAACTTTGATAAAACCGGGTGCATTTGACGGAAAATTTAAAGCAGTTTCAATAAATCATTTGAAAGTTTGTGGTGTCCAGTGGCCACCGGAGATATTCCAGATTTTTGTGTAGGGTATGTCAAAAACTGATTTTTTCTGGTATGAAAATTTATTTTAATTCTTCTTTTTTTCCTTTTATTAGAAGCAATTCTGAATTTAATGCTTGCCAAAGATCCTAGATCTGTCGAGAAACAACCGAGACCTGGTCATTTCCTTGAAATCAGTTCTGGTAATGTGACCAGCAATGTTAATCTTTTGAATCACGTCATTATGGGTGTTAACCCATATTTCATTTTTTGTTCGCTGATTTTTAAGCGCCTTGTCGCCAGAATCATTTTTAGCGTCACAAGCTGCGATGGCCATCCTGAAGCAGGTTCTGGATGCCTCGGGAGAAGTGGCCAATTTTAAACAATGAGCGAAACCATATCAATATGGATGTTAAACTTCAAGATTTTGCAAGTCATTGCCAATGGAAGATTTATAAGGTAAGCAGATTGCCATGGCTAGCATGAAGCATGTTCTGCGGGCACCGGGAGAAGTGGCCAATTTTGAACATGACCGGAACCATGTCAATATGGTTGTCAAAAATACAAAATTTACCAGCCAATGCCAAAGATATAGTTATAAACACTTATTTGATTTACGGTTTTAGCGTCAATTTAATTGTTTGTAGGAAAGTTTGAACATACTGAGAGGTGAGCACATATCATCGGTAAGAGACGTGTGTGTGAGAAAATTTGCGAAAAAATCTAAGGGCACCGGTGGGATTCGAACCCACAATTAAATTGACTGCAAAGTCGCTAAACCGTAAATCAAAAAGTAAAAGTAATTGATATTCATCAACTACGGCCCGGTGGTCGGAGGTGAGACCGGCAGCTCAAAATGTTATAGTCAATACTGTACTGGACATATTTCAGCATGTAAAGATGTACAACAAAAATGAGCTGTGTTTGTTCACATCGACTGATACTGAGTGGTTGCGGTACAAGCACACATCGTCGATAATAGACGATTGTTGTGTATCAGAGAACGCTTGCGCAAAAAGACTAGGGTGGGGAACGGATTCGAAACTCAAATGTCATTAGCCAAATACATCCGTAGACCATAGGTCCACCGTTGTATAATTGGCAATGCACCCGTGTACTGAATGGGAATTGTGGGTTCGAATCCCACCGGTGCCCTTTGTAGATTTTTTCGCAAATTTTCTCACACACACGTCTCTTACCGATGATATGTGCTTACCTCTCAGTATGTTCAAACTTTCCTATAAACACGTATTTACTCCGCCTTTTGAAACTGTCGTCATTTTGACTATAGTCGCTATATTCATAGTCTGGCGGATAGAATATCGGGAACC